AAAAATGAAAATTATCCATAATTATTTATTAAGTAATAATTTATAAACCTTAAATGAGCTGATTTCGATGGGGACAACCAGTTGATTTCAAATAATATTTGATCTGCGCTCACGCTGCCCTTTATCTCAAAAACAATTCAACATATGAAAAAATGTTTGAAACAGTTGTAGAGAATTTCATTCTCTACAATATTGATAATAAATACAATTAGCATAAAATCCATTGGAAACGACATATTGGCAAAAAACGTGCAAAAGTCGTTTTTTTTTACTTTTGACCCCCAATATTTGAAGTTGCGGCTGTCAAATCATATGTGAATTTTTAGAATACTTTTATGATGCCAAAATACAAAGTTTATACTAATTTACAGCTGGGTATGTCAACTTTCTGAAATACAGGCCTAAATCGACCTAAAATGACTGGACAATTAATGGTACGACTCATAATCTAGATAAGACTTGTAATCTAACATATCGATTCCTACAAAACGTTATTAACAGCCCTCTACACAGAAGTTTATCTAAGGAGAATATTTCATATACAGGTGAAAGGCAACGAATTGGGAAAATAAAGTTAGAACAAATGTATGTCAAAAATGGGTTTATAGAGATGTGGGGAGTCTGAATGATATGATTATGAGCATTGAAGTTAACCATCAAACCAAAAATAAAACTTTGCATTCAAAACCAATATTTTAGCTTTCTATAACTTGAGAATGTTTTTTAAAAAAAATCACTGATGACCTTTAACATAAACTGAGTTATACCTTGATTCTAGCAAGTGATTTGTAGACTGTTAGATACTCTCAAAATAGGTGAAATGAAATATTTTAATTTTCCTTCAAGATCACTCATGAAATATTATTCTCCTGAAATATCTTTTGAACCTTTAACTTTGCAGTCCAGTTCCAGTAAAAATGGTATAACTCACCGTTTCACCTCTCTCTTTGCTGACTGTCCTTTTGTCCGTCATATCACATTTGTTACCTAGTATCATTTTCTCCACATCCTCATTAGCATGCTGAAAAAAAATTGATATAATCGCAATGTAGTGCAGAACAAATATTTGTCAACCAAAACTTTTCTCAAGCAACAATGTTCATTGACAAGAATGAGAAACTGTGCAAATATTTTTAATACCGCTATGAAAACACCAATAAACACATTTGAAACGAGACCTGTTGAATTTTTTTCGCATTTCAAACTGGTAATTTTAACTTCAAACTAGTAAGCGTATGTGTGTGTATGCTCTAAAGCAATCTTTAGAGAAGTTGAGCCACTTTGAAATCAATCAAGTCCCAGACACTTTGCTGTTCAATATCCAGTGTGGTATTAGCCGTGGAAGTAGTTGTTTTCTGGCAGGCATTTACCAGGTAGGTAGTTGAAAGAGACGAATATATCCTTATATCCTTACTATGTGTGTCTATATAACATGAAATATTATGTATATTATGTTTGTGTATTAGGATCTTCCTACCAATAAATCATTCATTCATTCATATTTTCAAATGAACATTGAATTCAAAGAAAATATGATATAAGATACCATCCGTAGGAATGCTATAACTATAGTTAATTCCTTATAATCAAAGGGATAGACTTAAGTAAGAACACACTGGGTCCAATTATATTTTAATTTACTTTGAGATTAATCATTTAGTAGTTTCCCAGTTCAAAATTACTTAGTCACCATAGAAATTTTAAATGGTGATGAGTCAAGGATGATTTAAGAGGAATTACTGGTGACTATTGAAATTTCATTAGTTTATCGTTTACTGTAAGTTACAAATCATTAGATACCTATATCATGAAAAATAATGTGATTGGAGTAGCTTCACTGCATCTTTTATTAATCTGCAAAATATGTTGTAGAGTTTGAATATAATTTTGTTACTTTGTCATATATTTTTAGAAATATACAACAAAGGACATCCATTCTTTGGGAACCATTGAAACTCTGCTTCGAGATATTAAGACTATAAATACAATTAAAAACAATTTCAATAAAATAGCATACCTCATCTATATTCCTCAACCATTTCACTATATTCTCAAAACTTTTTTCATTTGTAATATCATACACTAACATTATACCCATGGCTCCTCTGTAGTAGGAAGTAGTGATAGTGTGGAACCTCTCTTGTCCTGCAGTATCCCATATCTGGAGTTTGATTTTTTTGCCTCTCAGCTCTACTGTTTTTATTTTGAAATCTATACCTGAAATAAAAATGTTTGAATTTGGCGCTTTTCTGAACCTCACCCATATTTTTTTTCATTTAAAATGTATAAAATCACGAAATGATATGTGAGGAAAACAAAGAATCTCTGTGCGGATTACATAAAATGGGAAAAAAATTTAAAGAAAATACTTCACCTATAGTTGATATAAAAGTTGTGGTAAATGCATCATCAGAAAATCTAAATAATATACAAGTTTTGCCTACTCCTGAATCGCCAATTAAAAGGAGTTTGAACAATAAATCGTACGTCTTTTTTGCCATTTTTGAGAATAATATCAAATCTTAGAATTATGGAGAAGACAATTATTAAAAATAGAACCAACTACTACCAACAGAAAATACTAAATTTCTTACATTGTCATGTCATAATTGTCATATGTCACATGTATTCACAGAACTACAGAACTACAACTTTGAGTTTTCGTTATGTTGATTCATTCCATAGATAGAATATTTGTATTGAATTATCTACAATTCAATATTTATTATTTTTCAGTAAATTGTTGCAACAGTTGCCCAACGATTTCCAAATATTCTGCAGAAATGTCTAACCAAGTTATTTATTAGAGTAATATTTTATTGTGAGATTTCACTGGAAAGTTTACAAAACCGCAACACGTGTTTCGCTTAACGATAGCTCTCTCAAGCATTTTCATACTCATCGCGGTTTTGTAAACTTTCTAGTGAAAATCTCACAATAAAGTGTTTATCGATTGAGTTATAGATTTTCATCAAGAATCGGCCAATTTCATCGCATAAATTTATACACAAATAACAAACATTATCAAGAAACACTAAAACGATTTACCGGAATATTTTTTAGTCCCGGTCCGTCACGGTATCCCGTCCGAATAATTAAATAAAAAACAAACGCATTCGTACACTAACGGAGACCAATTGGAAGTAAGCCTCCTCTGACGCTATAACTTCTGCAACTGAAATTACAAATCGGGACGTATGTCGCTGGTTAGATCGGTCTCGTGGAGCCTGTGTTTTTTAAAGTGGTCGGAGGCTTGGCTCCCTTGCAACGTATGACATTATTTCGGGTTGATAGTTTATTCGTTATTCGTTCATGGGCGGTGCGTTTGAGTTTTGTTGATGCAGGATACAGTGTGGTACGTAGTACGTAGTGAGTGAGTGTTTTTCGGGCATATTATGTATTTATATTAAAAATTAATAGTGAAGTAATGATACCCAAGCATTTTTAGAAAAAAAAATCATAATTATTTGTCAATATCTTTCAATTTATTGCGATGAATAGCCTCAAATTTAATGGGGAGGCTTAGCCTCCCTTGCCTCTAATATTGTAGAAACTATGCTGGTACGTAGGGATGTTGTTGAGAGCGAGAACATTGTTTAATCTGTTTGTCAATAGTCTTTCAAGTAGTTTACTTAGGCAGTTGAGGAAGCTGATGGGTCGGTAGCAATGGGTATTTGTTTGGGGTTTAGGAATCATTATAGTGTTTGCCTGTTTTCAGGCGGTGGGAGAGTATACAAGTTTATGGCAGGCGTTTAGGATGTAGCTAAAGTGAAGGTGGATGGTGTTCGAGAGATTTTTTGTCACTTGACGATTCTGGTCTAGGAGCGGTATTTCTATCGGAGTGGATAGTGTTGAGAATGTCTTCCTAGATGAATTGAGATCGTAGAGAGCAATTGGAGTCTGAGGGTGATGGCCGTGGTAAGATCAGACCAATCAGGGAATGTTATAAGGGAGGAGTGTTACAGATAGTTTTTCAGACTTGGGAATACTAAGGAGTCGGTTAATTGGGAGAGTGGTGATCGGACAGTTGCGGAAGAGGTCGCGAAACGGTCGCGAAAGTCAGTTGCGGAAGAAGGTTGCGAAAAGGGATTTCGCGAAAGAGGATTTTGCGATTGAGGAGTTGCGAAAAGAGTCCTTGGCGAAAGAGAGTTGCGAAAGTTAATTGGGGGACAGTTGCGGAGAGTCGGTCGCGAAAGTGAATTGCGATAGAGAAGTTGCGAAAATTGGTTGAAAAGTCTGTTGCGAAAAGATTCCTTTGCGATCGAGAGATAATTTGGGAGAGTCGCGAAAGGGAGTTGCGGAAGGAAGTCACGACAAGGGACTTTCCGAAAGGTATTTTGCGATAGTGGAATTACAGTAGATTACGGTCAGTGAGTTAATTGTTGTTTCTTTTGGTGACACTTTGAACGGATCAGTATTTTACACGGATATCGTACCAGAGGGGGAGACCCATGTCGGTTTAGAGAGAGAGGATGTCATTTTAATTTTGTAATAGTTGTCTTATTGTTGTTGCGTCTTGGGGACGATATAAGAAGGGCAATAAATTACACTACACCCCTTTCATATGTGTAAATATCATAGAAATTAGTACACACGGGTTTGAAGCTAAAAAATAGTACGGCAGCCAGGCAATTTCGAACGATCATTTCAGAATTTCCGCAAAACTAGAATAGAGTTATTTAGGTTTTCGTGTAAGTTGGAATTCTAATTTATGAGAAATGATAAAGAGATTCTTTTTGTTTGAGACCCAGCTATTTTAGACGTGCTTTCTTGTTAAATTTTGATCTTACCTTTCGAACATTTTTGCTTATTGCTTTTGTTTTATGCTGATGTTATATTTTTACACAGTTATTTGTTTTGTAATATAAGCCTGATCTGAAGCTTCTTGTTGTTTTAAATGGCTCACTACTCGAGTAAGTCCCGTACCATTTTAGGATAGTTGAAAGGCCTTTAGCCTTAAGTATTAGTCTCCTACCTCGTTCCGGAGTGGACCTTAGATGGAAAACAATCTCAAAAAGGTACACGGTGTAGTTAGGTTTCAAAAAGACCGGATTTCGTGCGATCGGCACGAGCCCTATAGCTGCATCTGATGTGGAGAAATCTGCATCTATTCTGAAAACGGTCGATATATTCAATAATAATACATAAAACCATATATACCTACATACATATACCGGTTATATTACAATTCTTTTTTGATAGTGTGATTTCGAGTACGTATATATGTTTTGTAAAGTTTGCGTTTGTTTCGTATGAAGTTTAAAATGTGGGACAGAAGTGAAGGTTGGTCAAGTGCTCTAGTTATTGTTGTTAGCTGCGTGGTCAGCGTCATTGATTAGCCTTTGTATTTTATCAATTTGTATGTCGATTTGTCTAGCGGAGTTTAACGAAGGCATGTCAATGTGTTGGAGGTTTTGGTTGATTAGGTTTTGTTAATTTCGGTGAATTTGTAGTTTTTGCAGGATATGGTTTCCGGGGTTTATTGGATTTGGACATTTAGGTCGGCTGAGCGAGAGAGTCTGATGTTATTGTGTCAAAGGTGTAGGTCGTGCTATCGACGACATCTTCTACGTTCTCAGAACAAAGGATGAGGTCGATGATCATGATCGAGGCCCCTGGTGGCTCAAAAATGTTGGGTCCCGAGAGAGGACTCTGCGGATATTATGTTTTAATAAGTAATCTGCAGAAGGGCGTCGACCGTTAGGGTTGAAATTCTTGTCTCCGAATTGTGTGTGCCTCGGGTTAAAATCTCCCAACAGGAAGGATTTAGGGAGCATGGAGGATTATTCGATGATTTCTCTGGGGGAGAATATGATGTTTGCGGTTATGAAGCGTGATAATTGTTATCGCGCTGAAGTTGGTGGAAAGGTCCACCGCGAGACAGTCTATCTGTAGGAATTTTTGGGCGAGATTATGTATTTTGTGGGCCAGACAGTGCTTCATGAGCATTTTTGATGGAATAAATGATTTTTGATTGATCATTCTTAGTCATATATTGAAAATTGTACACTAAGTTTCACTTGTATTGGTGGAGTCAACTAACGAAATAATTGAACGGGTTAGTAAAGATTATCCACCGCAAATGATTCTGAAGCATTTGACCTAAATCAACAAGAACCAACTGACTCTCATTGAACTTTCGCAATACACATTTTATTCTATATCAATTTGCTCAGTTGGGTAGATATAAAAAACTAATCAATACAGTTTATTGTATGATTTCCACTATAAAAGGTTTTTACAAAAACCGCGACACGTGTTTCGCTATACAATAGCTTCCTCAAGCATAAACTGAGAGTTACTTCTGAATACAACCCACTCGTCTACCTAAATAATGAATCTACCCGAAAAGTTCAGGTATGAATTCATTAACAATGTCAATAAATTTTTCTGAGACAATCCCACATGCCAGCGATAGTCTCAGAAACGACCCCACCCATTCATATCAGAAAGAAGTCAAGGAAACTTTGAAAAACATTCATTGTGTCATGGATGAAACGGAAAAATTCCGATCGTTAGTCATGAACTCACAACCACCTAAATTGTATTCGTTGATTAAATTACACAAAGACAACTACCCGATAAGATCGGTAGTATCTTTCGTCACAGCTCCTTTAGTTGAAATATCTGAAAAACTCATTGCAGTTATTCAAAACCACACCAATTTCAAATCAAAATTCAGTTTGAAGAATTCATACCATTTGATCAATGAAATTCAAGATATTACACTCCCGGATAATGCCAAATTGATTTCATTCGATGTAAATAATCTGTTTCCCAGTATTTCTCTGAATGAAACGATTACTCTGGTGGAGAATCTTGGAGAATATTGGACGAAAACTCTATCAATCTGGTAGTGAAAACTGAAATATTAGAATGGCTTACGGTGTGTTTGTCACAGAATTACTTCCAATTCAATGAAACTTTTTACTCATCCTGGAAAGGAATCATGATGGGAAACCCACTTAGTCCTATTCTGGTAGATATTTTCATGGACGATTTGGAGGAAAGAATACACAGTAACCCACTGGTAAGAAGTTTCGTGTATTGGTATAGATATGTGGATGATATCCTGGTATGTTTCACAGGAACGAACAGACAGTTGACAAACTTTTTGAAGTTCATTAATTCTCTCCACCCTTCTATCACATTCACAATGGAGATGAAACAGGACGAGTCTATAAATTTTTTGGACTTGACAATAACAAAAGTTAACAACAAACATAATTTTTCAATTTATCGTAAACCGGCACATATCGATATTGTCATTCATATAATTCGTCCACTCACCCATATCAGCATAAGGTAGCAGCTTTCAACAGTATGATCCACAGACTGATAAATGTGCCCTTGTCAGAGGCGAATTTCAATAAAGAACTGAATATAATAAAGCAAATAGCCGTCTACAATGATTACGATAGCGGTCAATTCGAAGAGAAGAGGATACAAGTTATAGAACCTTAACCTACTTAGGCCAACCCACTACAAATATTTCAGATTTTCTGCACAGCAAAGGTGTAAATACTGCTTTCAAAACCAACAACTCAGGCATGCACATTAAGAATAACAAAGATAAAAGTTCAGTTTCAGAAAAATC